GATCTCACTGTGTAGCCCAGGCCAGCCTCGACCTCCCGGGCTGGAGCAATCCTTGTGCCTCGGCCTCCCAAGGTGCCAGGATCACAGTTGTGAGCCACCACACCCGGCCCCCTCGGGCCTTCCGCAAAATGCACATCGCTAGCCAGGTGTGGTGGCTCACGCCTGTCATCCCAGCGCTTTGGGAGGCGGAGGCGAGAGGACTGCCTGAGCCCAAGGGTTCGAGACCAGCCTGGGCAACTTGGAGAGCCCTGGTCTTTACAGTAAATCAAAAAGTTAGCCGAGCGTGGTGGCGCGTGCCTGTGGTTCCAGCTACTTGGAAGGCTGAGGCGGAAGGATCGCCGGAGCCCAGCGGGTCGAGGCTGCGGTGGCTGGGGAGACAGAGTGAGACTCCAATTAAAAAATAAACAAAAATAAATAAAATTAAAATGCAAATCTGGTCTCATGCCTCTCCTACTGCCCAGTCTCCCGTGGCTTCCTAGTGCTCTCAGGGCACCGTCCGGACTCCTCCCCGCAGCGGCCAGGCCAGGCTTGATGGGTCTCACTCCCCTCGCCCCGTTATCGCATCCCCGGCCCTAACCCCCCTCTTCCGCTTTATCCACATGGTACCCCTTGCTATTACTTAAACACACCAAGTTCACTGCAGCCTCAGGACCTCTGCACATGCTGTTCCTCTCTTCCCTCTTCCTCCACCTCACCCCCGATGTCCCTTCCTCCAGGAAGCCCTCCCTGCCTCTCTCCCCCAAGGGAGCAGGATAGGGATGTCCCCCTCCGCCCAGTTCTGACCCAAGGGCCTTGAAGGGTCCACGTCTGCTTCATTCCATCCCAGCCCGGGGCTGAGGCCTCTTGGGGGCTCTGATCGTGCCCAACCCAGGCCGCGGGGCGTTTGCTGAGTGAATGCGAGACCCCCTTCCGGCTCCCAGCGCCCTCCCGCCGCGGCGCACTGACCTGTTGCTGGGCGTGGAGAAGACAGCGAGGACCACGGGCCGGCCCCCCAGGCTGACCACGCCCGTGAGGGCCTGCAGCACGTTGAAGTAGAAGTGGGAGTCCCCGGGAACGGAGCAGTTGAGCCGGGCCTTCAGGAAGGACGTCCACTGCTTCTCCAGCACGCGGGGCGAGCCGCCCACGTCGTTCTTGCACACGCGGCCCACGCGGGACACCACCACCTGGGCGCGGCCGCGGA